AAAAAAATAATAATAATAAAGAATAAAGGGAAAAATAATAAAAAAGTAAATCAGTGACGGAAAGAAACAAGAAAAATTACTGAAAGAAAAGAAAAAAAAAAGGTCAGCGAACGAGTTTATGGTGAGAATTGACATCAAATCCTGATGATGGAAAGCCTGAAATTGTTGATCGAGTATCTAATCGCTGGCTTCTTTATCCTGACACGAAGCACAAATGTTCGTTGTTAACGGTTGCCATCTTGACCCGCCTTTCTGTCGTCACGTCGCTGATTCAACGGAAAGTATCGGAGTATTTCAAGACGAATTATATCTTCAAGACTTGTTTTAACTGCTCACAACTCACTGAAAACTTTTTTTACACTTTCTTGGCATTATTTTATTTATTTTTTTTTTTTATTTGAATCCATTTCCTTTCTCTACTGGGGTGTTTTTGTTAATTTGCTATATTAGGCAAGAACACTAAGGCAAAGTTTAACATATATACACAGAGAAATTGGTGAGTAAAAAGGACTAATTTTGTTTTTGTTTTTTTTTAAACCACGATAAATTTTTTGTTTTTAAAAAGCTATTTTTAGAATTTTAATAAAACCCAACACTATGAGACTGGATTTATGCGTTCTCTTTTCTTCTCCAGAAAATTGACAAAAAGAAGTCTTTCACATTACTCTTCTAAATAGATTAATAGTGTTTAACAATTTTGTTCAAAATTCTGGAGAAAAAAAAATTAGAAATCCGGAAGTTTGGAACGTACGCGTTTTATTGGAAAGTTCATGTTCGGACATTATTATAAATTCATGAATAAAAGAAAGTTTATATCGTTATTTCTCTATATTGTGAATAATAAATATTGTGTTACACTTAGTAGCCATAATTTTACAAACTTGTGAATATTAATTATTTTTTTAAGTAAACAATCTAATAAAATTAAGAGATTTAATTTTTTACTCATATTTCTGAGATGAGGTATTGTAGTACACACACACACACACACACACACAGTGCGATGCGTAAATTGTCACCAATTTATATTTTTAATTTTGCGCATGCGCGTTGTTGCTGTCAACTGCACTGTTTAATAGGGTCAATTAAGCACCATCTGAGGAGAAAAAAAGGCACCATTACGCAATTCGCTCCGCCAGAAATGGCATACTGCAATAGTTGGCATTCGCACCGGAAGCTCCAATACGTACATTTCAGAGTGTTTGTGTGTCAATCTGAGGAGAGTGCAGAAGATTCGGAAAAATTTGGTGATTACGAAGGTGTTTGTCGTGATTGCGACATTATACATCTATTCATCTTCCCACAGAGCCTTAGACTCAACTCTGAGCACTACATCAAGTTTTTTTTAGTGCTGCCCTTGGTCAAGATGGTGGCTGTTGGAAGACTCTGTCTGGCAACGCGACTCTCATCATACCACACAAGCAGTATTTTTTATCTAACTTTAACTACCGGCCTCATTTTAGAGCTGTGATATTCATTTTTTTTATATTAAGCATAAAGGGAGATTAGTCTTTCATTTTATTAAAAGAAAAAAGAAATTACATTAAATATTAATCGTGATCAATCTATTTAACTAGATATTTATTTCTATACCAAAATGTTACCATAAATTGATTTCTTTTGTTTAATACGTTAGGGTTATTTAAGTATTTTAAGATAACTAATTTTTCAACAGGACATAAATTACTTCTATTGCATTTCCCATTGTACGATTTGGCTCTTGCCACAATACCCCACGTGATAATAAGTGTATTACCATAATTCTTTGATTGCCAGGAATATGCAGAGAGCACTGTTGTTGATGTAGTTTATATTGCCTGAAATCATTCGATGATGGTAGAAAAGGAAATTCCAATCATTTTCATTGGCACCAAAATAAAATTTGACATTGCTAATGGAATGTATGCTAGCTCGGTATACAATATTATCAGTCACACATTGACCGTTTAAGGGACAAATCATATTTTTCGCTTTTTGTATTCATTTTTAAAAAAAAATTAACTTTGGAAATATATTTATTTAATAGAATGCTATTTAGGATATAGATTTATCGATGCTACAAACGAAAATATAGCTGATCTCAACATTATTATTTTTTTTTTTTTTTTAAATCATTTTTAGTGTTGGTGAATATATATATATATGTGTGTGTGTGTGTGACCTGAAGATTGCGTTCAAGCATGAGATAAACTGTCGCCGCTTGTGTTGAATTTTGTGTCCGCTGTTGAAATTACTTTTAGTTTTGCTATAACCCTGATAATGAGCATTTTTAGCCTTATGACATACCGTAAAACTATACATTTATCACTGCTAATATGGTACCTAGACTTTGAGAACTTAAGTGCAGATTGGCACCAAGTTCTGATCAATTTACTGTTGGTTAGATGCAACCCCAAGTTCTATGCTAACTTAAGGAACAGTCTTCCGGCTTTCCAAAGAACGTTGCATTTAATGTCAATCCTTATCTATTATCGTAATCTATTATTCTGCCTCCTTAATGATGTTTCTCTTTTTTTTCTCTCTTTTTTTCTCTCTCTCTCTCTCTCTTTTCTCTCTTTCTCTCTCTCTTTTTTCTCTCTCTCTCTTTCTCTCTCTCTTTTTCTCTCTCTCTTTTTCTCTCTCTCTTTTTCTCTCTCTCTTTTTCTCTCTCTCTTTTTCTCTCTCTCTTTTTCTCTCTCTCTTTTTCTCTCTCTCTTTTTCTCTCTCTTTTTTTCTCTCTCTCTTTTTCTCTCTCTCTTTTTCTCTCTCTTTTTCTCTCTCTCTTTTTCTCTCTCTTTTTTCTCTTTTTCTCTCTTTCTTTCTCTCTTTTTTTCTTCTCTCTTTTTTTTCTTCTCTCTTCTTCTTTCTTCTCTCTTTTTTCTTCTCTTTTTTTCTTCTCTCTCTTTTTTTCTTCTCTCTCTTTTTTTCTTCTCTCTCTTTTTTTCTTCTCTCTCTTTTTTTCTTCTCTCTCTTTTTCTTCTCTCTCTTTTTTTCTTCTCTCTCTTTTTTTCTTCTCTCTTTTTTTTCTTCTTTCTCTTTTTTTTTTTCTTCTCTCTTTTTTTTTTTTCTTCTCTTTTTTCTTCTCTTTCTTTTTCTTCTCTTTCTTCTCTTTTTCTTCTCTTTCTTTTTTTCTTCTCTCTCTTTTTCTTCTCTCTCTTTTTTTTTTTTCTTTCTTCTTTTCTTTTTTTTCTTCTTTTTCTTTTTTCTTCTCTTTTTTCTTTTTTTTCTCTTTTTCTTCTCTTTTTCTTCTCTTTTTTCTTCTCTTTTTTCTCTTTTTTTCTCTTTCTTCTTTTTCTTCTCTTTTTTCTTTTCTTTTTTTATCTTTTTTTCTCTCTCTTTTTTTTTTCTTCTTTCTCTTTCTTTTTTTTCTTATTTTTTTTTTTCTTATCTTTTTTTTTCTTTTTTTCTTCTCTTTTTCTTATCTTTTTCTTATCTTTTTTCTTATCTTTTTTCTTCTCTTTTTTCTTCTCTTTTTTTTTCTCTTTTTTCTTCTCTTTTTTCTTTCTTTTTTCTTTTTTCTTTTTCTTATCTTTTTTTCTTATCTTTTTTTCTTATCTTTTTTTCTTATCTTTTTTTCTTATCTTTTTTTCTTATCTTTTTTTCTTATCTTTTTTTCTTATCTTTTTTTCTTATCTTTTTTTCTTATCTTTTTTTCTTATCTTTTTTCTTATCTTTTTCTTCTTTTTTCATCTTTTTTTTATCTTTTTCTTATCTTTTTTTATCTTTTTTTTCTTTTTTTTTTCTTTTTTTTTTCTTCTCTTTTTTTTTCTTTTTTTTTTCTTTCTTTTTTTTTTTTTTTTTTTTTTCTTCTTTTTTTTTCTTCTTTCTTTTTTTCTTTCTTTTTTTTTTTCTTTTTTTTTCCTTATCTTTTTAGTAACACCTTGTGTTTTATTGGCCTCATTGACTTTCTTAAGGATGAAATTATATAAAATGATTACATTCACTTACGTGAATACCCTTGGGAAAGGTGTGAATCAATAGTTATCTGAAACTGTAGAAACTATTCTGATTAACGTTTATCCCTAGTACCTCGACATCATAAATTTAACTGGATTGTCAATTAGGTCTAACCTTTTTACTGTTGAACTAGCTTCCGATTGATTGTTTCACTTCTAACTTCGATGTACCGTGCCTCTTCTGGACGTCATGTCTTCTGTCTCTTGTAGCTCTTAATAGCTGTTGTCTTTTTTTGCCATCTCTCCCAAACCCTGCTCTGCCATCTATTCACTCAAGTTCGCCTGGTTGCTTTCCTGTATCTTTTCCTTTCAATCTGTTTTATGAGTATCAAATTTTCCAAGCCCTCTTTCCTCATTATTTGCCCCCAACAAATTTCAGCTGTATGCGTCCACTTTGTTGGCATTGTTTCCAGAGCTTCGTCGTTGCTTATATGGTCGATCCATGGTATTCTCAGTATCTCTCTGTAGAACCACATTCAAGTTGTTTCAAGTCTGATGGGCAATTGTTTAGCGTTCTATTCCATAAAACAAAACTGGTATTATATAACCGTTTATTGCTTCTAACAATATACTTCGCTCAGCTTTTGAAATGTATCCCAATACGACGTCATATTTCAAGCCGTCCTTCAAAATTTAAATGCAACTTCAATCACCATCTGTCTTCCTGAACCCTGTTCCTTTATCCTTTCTGGACATCTTCTCACTATTTTTCTTTTTCATTCCCTGCAACCCCCCCCCCTGAGTCCGAGTGGCATTATCGCTATGCTTGGGATGAAATGATAAAACAAACATAGTATATTATTATACAGGTTTTTACTAATTGACTATCGCTATTTCACTAAAAATTCGTTCACATGTCATTAACCCTAAAACACTAACCATCAATTAAAGTTACACCACTACTAACCATGGGTATATCATACCCGATTTTGAAAATATCAAAAAAATATTAAATATAAATCTTTATTTGAAATATTTTACATGCCGGCACTTCAAACTTTGTAAGTTGAGTTAACATTAATAGGAACTGAAAAATATTATTTAGGTAAGATAATCAGGTACTGAAAATTGTAATAAAAAAAAAGGTTGAGCTGGGTACTATATACCCATGGTTAGTGTTCTAGGGTTAAAATAGATGTGTCTACGTCTTCCTCTCTTAGACTGTGTAAATGGATACTTCGTTTAGTATATCTTTACAAGAGTCAGGTAAAAACATAACTTGAGTATTGCTGCTATATTTTATTGTAGCTGCCCAGTCTTCACTTTCTAGCCTTGACAGTTCAAAATCGTGTACGTGGCCTTGAGAGTGTTAAGTTACTACAAACTTTTCCTCACATAGGAAACTTAAAAAAGCTTCTCGCCGCAACAGATGTTCTTCAGTTCCACCAGTTCAGACCGTTACAGCTAAACCCCACCATGACACGAACACAGATTCGTATTATCCCGATTCATTTCGTATTCCATTAGTAAGGAGGAAATTCCATTCAGACAGCTTCTTTCCAAGAAATGCGAACTTCGTGAAATAAACTCCCGAGAGGATGTTTCGTTGATCAAGACGGTCTTAACCTCTTCAAGACGGTGGTCAACCGTTATCTACTTTAAACAACCTTTTCAAGTCAGGGATCAAATGTTATCTACTTTGAACAAACTTATTCGGTAACTCTTTACAATGATTGGCGTTGTACTCGGTGAACATAAGTGATAAAAAAAAAGATTTATGAAAGGATAGTGACGGCAAAAGTATGAATGAATGACTTTTGCAGCAAGTGTGAAAATGGCTGAAACAGCCAAGCCTCGTTGAGTGACAGTAACTTCCCACTAAAGTCTGTAGGGATTGTAATCAGATTGATGGCTTAATTAATTGGTTTCTTTCGAAAAACTGACAGATTAATGACGATATTGTTCAATGATTGTAATGATTTCAGTAGAGTAACGACAGCATATTTGTCACATCTTGCTGAATCTCTTGTCTCGTGGCTACTTCCCTCCCTCTCTCTCTCTCTCTCGGTATTTGTTTGCTCCCAACCGCCTCTTTTCTCTGGGTATTTGTTTGCTCCCTCCCGCCTCTTTTCACTCGGTATTTGTTTGCTCCCTCACTCCCGCCCTGTCTCTCTCTGTCATTTTGCTCCCTCTCTCTGTCATTTTGCTCCCTCTCTCTGTCATTTTGCTCCCTCTCTCTGTCATTTTGCTCCCTCTCTCTGTCATTTTGCTCCCTCTCTCTGTCATTTTGCTCCCTCTCTCTGTCATTTTGCTCCCTCTCTTTTCGCTCTTTCTCTCTCTCTCTCTATTTTTGTTACCTCTCTCTGCTCGCTCCCTCCCTCGCTTGGTATATTTGAAGAACCTCGGTGCTGTTGCTTTCTTACGTCCATCTTAATGACACCTTTTATTATTTACCTTTTTCTTAACTGCTTTATTTCTTCACAATTCCTCACTCGGCCTTTTCCCAATTCTGCATCCATCATTCCAATCAATTCAATGACTATTTTGTATCTTAATTTGTTTTCCGTTTCTTTGGCTTTGCATTTGGCTTTTTCACTCTTTTTGTTCCCTTCTCTTGCTCTTTGTGTCACTCCCTCTCCTAACATTTAGGTCTATACACATACACACGTGTGCACAAGCAGACACAAATCGCACATGTGTAAGGAGTTGCGTGTATGTATATAAATGCAATACATATCACCTAAATTGTTTGACTTTTTGTGGACCCATTCCCAATTCGTGTTTTACCCAACTCCGCCCACTTAAAAATCAAAAAAAAAAAAAAAATACAAACCTCGAGCTCTATTAAAGATGACAAAATATTATTAACCCGACCCACATTCCCAAATCTGACCCTGCTTAAGAAATTTTGGGAAATCCCTTCTTGGTCAGGCCGAGAATATTTCAGTACGTTATCCTATTGCCCCACCGACAATTGCATCGAGAAACTAAGCATAAGTCCATTGGCCATCAGAACGAAGAATTTTTGGCGCCAAATCGAACTCTTTGATGTTGTGTTATTTATCATTCTTCTCTTTCTTGTTTCATTATTTTCTCATTGAAAACAGTGCCCTACATTACTTCTCTTGAAATTTACATCTGGAGCGCCTCTGAAACAATTTCATTACTTCAACTGCCAAAGTGTGCCATTGATCATTGGTACATTTGAAGAACCTCGGAGCCGTTGTTCTACTTTGGTACAGTTTAACGCCCCTTTTGAAGTATTTGGTATTGTTGATGGGAATGACGAAAGCTTTTACATCTTATCGTCACATAGGAAATTAGATTTCTTCTCTATGCACTAATTCATCTAGCCTAGTCACTAATTCATCTAGCCTACTCACTATAATAGAGTAGGATTGATTAAAAGAATGATCAATATTTTTTATGCATTTTAATCACTATATATTTTCTGACGAAGAACATATCAAAGACAATGTAGTAAGCAAACAACTCAGTAGTTACACAGTGCTATATAAATATTGGAAATAAGTAGCATCTGATGGCATAAATGAACCCAGGCATTAACAATTAATACTAAATTATGCTAGAATTATGTAAAGGCCAATAGGTTGTCGGCGTTATA